GCTGTTTAGGGTGCTCGTTTCTGGTGCCAGCAATGTGCTCGCTGGAGGGAGGAGAGGGCAAAATCTGTTTTGTGGGGAAGGGGTTGCTGGAAGCAAAGTGAATTAAGAGGGCTGTAAAAAATTGATAAAGATAGATAGGACTGTCTGTTTTTATATTCTGCCACATAACATGGGTTTAAATGAATTTCCCTATAATTTGTCTTCAAATACCGACATTTAACTCTTAGGCTGTATAAATGAACTGGCTTTTGCTGGAGTAAAATTCATGCCCTGCGTCCAGGCTAATATGTTCACCTACTATAAACATTACTGCCTATGGTTACAACTGGAATAAAAAATTCCTTTTATATACATCATAGCTGGCAGAGACTCCTGAGACCACCACAAATCACTTCAGCCTTTTGGTGCTCTCTGACGAAATGAACTGAAATGTAAAACAGCTACGGCTTCAGGCAGGCTGGCTCTGAAAGCAATTAGCTTGTTAAGACCATTGTTTGTACCCTCCCATATTTCCAGGTGCTGAGCAAAGGTGTTATGAGAGCTCTCCTGATTGATTTCAGCATTGGGGTTTATTAACCTTCCATTCCTTCCTAAAATGTTTTGCTTATTCTCTTGGTAGCCTTTTATTTAAAGGGAAGAAAACCAACCAAACAACAACAAAAGCGAAGCCCTGGCAAGGCCACCCCTCCTGTGAAAGAATAAGAAGAAAGGAGTGGGGGAGAGAGGGAAGGCAACAAAACCTAACCAAAAAAAAACCCCTTAGGGTCATAACAGGGAATAACAAAGCAGTGAGTTATTTATGCAGCCATGATTGGCAAAAGTGATTGCAACATGAATTTGCCCAGAAGCAATGATTAGATCATAAAAATGTTAAGGAAATCTGTAACTCAACACCGTTTTAAAGATTGAAGAAGTTTTTGTTCCCTACCTTAATTGCAGTGACTTGTTATTAAAGTATTTATTCAGAGTAATCTCTTTGGACAGCGAGCCCTTATCCCATCTGCATGCATAATTAAAAGTGAGGGGGGAGAGAGGGGAGCATAAATGGTTTACCATGCTACATGAGCAAGGGAGGGAATTACACAATGACAGGTGAAGAGCAGATTTATCTCCTGTTGGAATTTCAATGCTGCAAGCAAGGCAGGACACTGTTGCTAATATCCTTGCAAACACCACAGTTGCTGCTTCTCCAGATTACTGTCCAAAAATTATTGCTGGTCTGTAAAAGGCCTGTAGCACTGCATCTGTGGCTGTGGGGTTTTGAGCCATTGGCGCTCAAGCAGAGAGATTGGATTTGGGTATGTGGGCTTGTGAATCGATGTCTGTGCTTAAAAATGAACTATTTACTTACTTGGCTGGCTATTTATTTATTTATAAATAAACATTGGTAATGGCTGGCTTTGCTGAATACGAATAAGAGGGTTGTAATTGTTCCAGCTGAAACAATGTCATCACCTGCCTCCTGCTGCTGTCCCTTTCCCAATGGTAAAAGAATTTAGTGCAATTCTTCTTTTTCCACTCTGAGTAAGGAAGAAGGTTGTACTTGAACATTCATCTCTAGGCAGATTTATCATCATTAGGCGCTACTCAAACACATGGTATCTGTTTTTAAATTGAGCTGTTATAGATCTAAATCAGATTTACACAGAGTAAGTTGGTATACATTTGGCTATAACAGTTCGCTAAAGAGTGTTTTTCCCTTAACTTCTGATGTCTCACCTCTGCAGCAGCAGTACAGAGAATGCCAAGAACTTTTGAGCCTTTATCAGAAGTACCTAGCTGAGCAGCAAGAAAAACTATCACACTCCCTTTCTGAACTCAGTGCTGCCAAGGAAAAGGAGCAGAAGGTAAGCTCTTTTTTTATCATCTCTTTTTTATTTAAATTACCAAGTCAAAACGTCTTTTTGAGACTGTGAGTGTATTATCTTACATCTTATGGTGTTGAATACTATTTTGTGATTGGTTTCCCATGAGTGCTTGCCTTAATACATGGATTGCAGGAAAACAAAGAGAAAAATCTTGACAAGTTTTGGGTCAGCAAATTGACCATGCTGTAATGGAGTAAGAATCATGGTAACCCACACCTTTTCCAAGGAAAAAGTTAAGATGCTGTTATGTTTTCTATTCTGTTATTTAAACAGGAAAATAATTGCAGTCACTGTAGATATAGCCTTTCACATTTTCACTGTGGCTTTTGATGATTGAAAAGGGCATTACAGATGATGTATTTGGTCAATAAGAGCTTTCTCAAGTCTGTAAAGCAGCTCATCTGATTTGAGCTATTTATAGAAGATCTGTAGTTCTATATGCTGTTAAAACCAGAAAATGTTGACTAGAGATATGTGTTAAATTAAGTTCTAAAATGTTTCTTGTAGAGAGTCACCCAAAGCCCTGAGAACATGGTTGCTTGAGATATTCCCCTGGTAGCCAGGTGCTTGGTTTGTCCTGGCTGATGGCATATTACACCCTGGAAGAGAAGACTGCCCATGCAGGTGTCTACCCTGGGTTCTTGTTTGCTGTTCTCTGGTAGCAGCTTCCATCTGCAGATAGACCTCCAGAATGCATCCTTCCTAAGACCATGCCTTTTTCTTGAGGTTCTGCCTTCGATCCCCTCTTCTTCTGGAACAGTCTTAAAGGCTTATTTGTAACAGGGCTAGAAATAAAGTCATCAGCACAGAGGAGGTCTCAGTGGTTACCTGCTATGAGAATTATACAGGCAGATCCTGCTTCGCAGGAGACTGGAGACTGTGCATGAAGGAGTCTTTTAATTCTCTCAGGAAGCACGTAGCAATACTCTTTGATTTTGTTGGCATCAGGAATGGATTTTTTTTTGTCCTGATGATGTATTTTTTAGCTTTTTTTTTTTTTGGTCCAGCATTGTTGGACATTGAGCTGTTTGTCAGGCTTTTAACTTTTCATAAACATTTCATTTGCATTCTTTTGTGTTTATATCTGCCCTCCATTTTTGTGATGGCATTGAATTCAAAACAAGAACATTCTCCCAGAAAGGATGATGTCTGTGTTGCTGCTTGTATGGCATGCAGCTTGCTGGGGATCTTCATGGAAAATAGTCCAGAGGAGTCCATGTTGTCCAGAAGCACTGTGGTAGTTGTGTTTTGGGTGATGCCAATCCTTCTTTCAGGTTTTGCCTTGAATGTTTCATTTCTAGCCTTTCAACTTCAAATACATTTATCCTATACTAGGTTAGCCCTTAGTATGGAGGGATCCAGTGTCATCACATCTACTGGGCAAAGGCATGGAAGCAGATAATAGGAAACCTTCAGCCCACTGACTATCAAATAATTTCAACAATCCGTTCATCTCCTCTTGTTCTTCTGTCTTTCTAATCACTCTGTCAGTGTATACACAGAGACTTCTTTAAAATTGTTTTCTGATTTCATGTGCAAAGTTCTATCAAGCTCATCTTTGATTCCATTATTTCTTTTCTCTATGCTTACAGGTGCTTTTGTCCACAAATGCAAATTCAGATATTATATCGAGGTTTGCCTTGACATTTCATTTATGGTTACATACTCTACAGCTCCAGCCTAGCAGGTCTGAAATTACCCTAGTCCTCTTGTTGTGTGCAAAGCAATGTAGGCATAGATAAAAACCTGTCAAAACATGCTTCAACTGTTTTTTCTTACAGCATGCAAAGTGTTTCTGATGTTTCTAGCCTTCCTCTTCAATTTTCTCGTTCTTTGCATTTGGCTTTATAAATTGTTACCATTTTTCACCCAAACAAGCTCTTTGTGCTGTGTTTCTCCTCACAGTTTAGAAACTGTGAAGAGTCGAGCAGGACTGCTGCACTCTGTCTGTCCTTTCCCTTGTGCACTCTTTCACGGGATGGCTTTCCAAACCCAAGAAGGGTCCCTGGGCTGCTCTTGATGGGACTCGGTGTTATTTTTGCACATCTTTTAATACCTGAACTGTGAACTCTTAGTGTCCTGATGGGTCTCTCTTTGAGCGTTTTTTGTTCTCTTTGAGTGTTGTCTTAACACAGTGGTTCAGGCCAGCATTGTTCTGTCTGCCTGATGGAGTCAGCTGAAGGGGAGCACAGCAGGGAGGGATTTTTGAGAGGAAAGAATTGGAAGAGGATAGACCCAGAGCACTCTCCTCCTGCTCCAGGTACTGCCCATGCCAGTTTTTTCTACCCCACTGAAGCTTTTGTGCTCTTCCTTTCTGTTTTAAGGTGGGCTTTGACAAGAGCAATTTTGTTGAAATGTTAGGATAATGGAAGGCTTTGTGAGTTTTGTTTGAATCCAAATCCATTTAAATATTTTCCTTTTCACTTGATTTTCTCCAGGTTAAGGAAATCTTGGATATGTCTGGGTTTTAAAGCAAGATAGCTAGTTTGTCACATAGTTTTCTCTTTGTAGAACTGTGTAGGCGACATAATCAGCATTTCCTATTACAGGACGCTGCTGATCTTTCTGGGGTGTCTCTGTTTCGATGTACAATGTTCCAATTTTCCCATCTTGTGCAGAAACATTGGACTGTGCAGCTGTACTCCATAATGAAGCACTTCTTTGTTCTGCCTGTTTTGAGCTGTTCTTTCTTGTTTCTGTTCATTTCCCTTTCTTTTTCCTAGTTGTTAGTTAGGAGTAATTTCTAGTGCTACACCTGTGTCTTTACGCCTCCTGCTTCTGCTTTTCACCTGCCTGTCTCCCTCATTCTTACCCTATTGTAATTTTGATCATGAGCTGTCACTTTCCCCTGGGCTTAGATGGGTGTTTGGAAACATCTCCTTTCAGAGTTTAAATGCTGGGTTTTCTGTCAGAATAAGACAATTAACAGGTCAGGAGAACAGCAGCTTACCAAACATCGATGGCACTGTTGTAAAAAGAGGTGGAGTTCTACAGGATGTAAATGACTGCAGCAGCCGCGTGCATGTGGCTGAAATGCAGCCCTGGTTTGTAGATGTACTGAACTAATGCAGATGCTTTGATGTTAACTTTTATTTTTGTCCGTTTTACTATCACCAAATGATAGCAGTAACTCTGAAGCCATGTTTTCCTCTTAGCTAATCTTGCCTCTTTATAATGAAAGTCAGCCCTCAAAATGTAAAGAAGCATCCTGGTAGTAGTGAAATAAAATTGCTGGGAAGATGGTGGTAAGATGATTTAAGTCAGAACTCTTGTGGAGTCAATAATCAGTAACTGGAACATGGAACTTCCTTTTTTTTTGTGAGATAAAGTTAATTCCATTTGAAAAGATACTTAAGGTGACATGAATTGAATTATTCAAACTGGCCTTCTCAGCATTAACTCTAGGTTAATATCTCATGATGCCTCTGGTTTCATTATAGGAGTTTTAAGTACATAACTTTTTATAATAAATTCAATACCTAGAAGCCGAACTGAAATTGGTTTACCTTCTACCAACCCATAAAAAGAAGCATTAATTGTAAAGTGAATATTAAAGTGGTCACTAAAGTTGACTCAGATTCAGAGAGATAGCGCTTTGGTAAAGGGAGAGCTCTACTGAAAAATAGGCTTCTGCCTTGCTGTTAATAGAAAATATCATTCATAGTAAAATGTAGTTAAACTTTTCCATCAAAAATGACTTTTGGATATACTCTCTGCAGCACCCAAACATTCAGTCTTTGCCATTTTCATATGCTTTACACAGACATGTAAAGAAAATTGCCCTTATTCTAGGTAATCATGTCTGACCTAGTTTATATACTCACTACTTCACTGCCATCTTAAACAGTGTCCAGAATCCAGTTTGATTTGGCACATTGTGGATGATGAATCCGTAGATGTTCTGCCGTGTAGGGTAGGACATGAGGCACAAGAGTTGGACAGGCAGCTGAGTTTCTGCAGAACTGGGATTCTTGAGCTCTGTCACCTTAAGGAAACATAATACCTGTAGTCTTAGCACTCTTTATTAATGTTAATCTTTGAATTTACAAGTACAGCTGGCAGCGTTTGTTTCTTATTTGTGGAAGATTACCAACACATCTGCTAATTCCCTTGGTTCACAAAGATTCTTGTGAGTGTGTGTGTGTGTGTGTGAGGGGCTTCAGTTCTTTCTTGTGTAGAAGAAGCATGGGAGTGGAGTGGGATTACAGACTGAAAGGAATATCAAGACTTTATTTTCAATGGTGTATCATCTCCCCTCTCCCTCAGTGTTCTGATGTCTGCCCCCTCTTTAAGGTTTGCCAGTGGCCCTCATCAGGAATGAGGTTATTGTTGAATGCTAAGCACCATGCAAGCATCCTGAAAGACATGGTCTGCTTTGGGCCTATGGTAAAATCCTAACGAAGTTGACTTTCAGGAAGGCTTTTTTTTTTAAATTTTTTTTTTATTATGTTGCTATTTCTCTTTAATCACTTCTTAAAAATTTTTGAATGTAGTTGTATCACTTCACAGTAAAATCCAAAAAAAGCCTTTATCTGCAAAAATGAATAAGCCTTGCTTTCTTTTGATATTGGCAACTAATATTCTTGTCCTTTTTATTTTTTTTTTGCCTTAATAAGGATGATTACATACTAAAGCTTCAAACATTACTTATTTGTTTTATTAATTTTTTCCTTTGAAAAAGATATTGAAACACATCAATTTTCAGAAGCCTTTCCTTTGTGATTGTCCCCAAACTTCCCCAGTTCCATTTTTTTTCACCATAGGTCACCTTTAAACACATTCTTAGCTTGCTTAAAGAAAAAAACATCCCACATATGCGAAGGGTTTTGAATGCTATAAGGTAAACCTTCATCATGGAATTGACTTTGTCTGTTTACCCAGCTGTATGGGAACAATGAATGAGCCCATCTGAAAGATACTTAAAAACTGGGATAATAAATAAAGAACTAATTTGACTAGGGACTCAAGGGTATTGGAAT